AAGAATAAAATTAAACTTCTGCTGAGAGCTCCAGACCAGTAGCTCAGGTGGCTTGTGACTTATTCTATAAAGCATTAAAGCCAAAGATCAAATCAACTTAGCATAACCACAACCGCTCAGCTCCTGAAGAGAGCTGCAATAGCTACAAATGCATTTGCCTCTTTAATGTACGTTCAGCCCAAACTCAGCCCAAATCACGAGGGAGCAGAGGAAAGGGAAAGAAACACACGCTAATTACACATCTACTGTGAGTTAGGCCCTATTTTAGGGTGGGGTTTTGTTCTTTTTGAGATAGGGTCTCATGCTGTTGCCCAGACTGAGGTGCAGTAGTACACAGACACTGCAGCCTCAAACTCCTGGGTGCAAGCACTCCTCCCACCTTGGCCTCCCAAGTAGCTACCCGTGTTTCCCTGAAAATAAGGCACTGTCTTATATTTATTTTTTCTCAAGAAGACACACTAGGGCTTATTTTCAGGGGATGTCTTCCTCACATGGTGGAAGATATGCTGCATAGCCATGCCCATCACTAGGTCTTATGGGGGTTGGGCTTATATTTAACAAATGCATAGAAATCCTGTTAGGGCTTATTTTGGGGAAAACATGGTAGCACTATAGGCATCTGCTCCTCCATGCCCAGGTAGTTTTTCTGTTCTTAGAGATGTGGGCTCACTTTTTCCCAAGCTGATCTTAATTCCTGGCCTCAAGCAATCCTCTTGCCAGGGCTTCTAAAAGTGCCAGGATTCCAGGAGTGAGTCACCACATCTGGCCAGGTGCTTTACTGTCATTAATCCATCTAATCCCTGAAACAACCTTGAGTTAAGTGTTATCTCTATTTGCAGGGAAAATGGAGATTTGCTTCAGTAACCAATCAAAAAACAAAACTGTTTAAGCTAGAAATAGATACAACACAATGTCATCCAGACTATTTGTGCAGGGATAACAACAAATTTGTCTTGCTAATCCTGCCATACCAGATGGAAGCTAAATGACAGTCAACACACCCTCTCACAATGGGGTCTTAAGTAAGTCCTTGTATCTCTTTATTAACATCCTCATTAATAAAATGAGGGATTTGGAGGACATAATTTCTTTAAACTCTTAAAACCCTTTCCTGATATACCCAAAAGCTCTAATAGAAACACACCTGAGTCACAACTATAGCTCAAGAAGAAAGTTATGAGAAAACCTATAGGCTATACAGACTTTCAGCAGTTCATCAAATTTATCACCTGAGGCTGCTGTTAAAGGTTGTAGTGAATAGAGACAGGTAGAGCTTACAGTGTAAGACAAAACAATATGAATGTGAATTTGCCCATCCTTGCCCAACACTCAACATCAGTTTCCAAACCTTTTGAGAACCCAGTCTCTTGCTGACTGGATGCAGAGGTCACCACATCAAAGTGAGCCACAGGATCCTGCATGCAGCAGGATGATTGAGTTCATCAACTCAAACATGATTGAGTTACCACACAAACCTAAGTCTTATTTTTGATAACAAAGAAATGCCAAATTAAGTCAAAAACCTTAGTTGGGTATCTTGAATCATATTAAGCCTTGGGCAATTGCTAATTTTTATGGCTGTTTTATCCTACTAAAAATGTGAGGTAAGGAAGTCTGGTTTCTTTTTTTGTAGAAAATTCTTCTTTCCATGGCTACAAATTCCAATCAGTTTCCATAAGACCTCATTACAGGTGTTTTCCACCTTCCAAACCCCACTGATGAAAGGCATAAAATGGTACATAATTAGTTCATCCAGCAGATTCCCCAGTAGTAAAGGAAATAAAATTTCATCAGTGAAAACCGTGGTAACAGGATTCAAGAGCAGAAGTTACTAAAAAATTTAGGAAGGAACTCAAACAATGTCCAACTTTGTCAATAGTTTCCAATGACAAAAGAAAAGAAAAAAATCCAATTTGGTTCTTGGAACACTCTACATTTAGAATTCATTTCTACTCCCTGAGACTACTGAAATCGATAAGCCTACCACACTTAAAAGAATGATATACAATAATTAAACATACATGCTACTGCTTTATG